AGAATATATTATAATATATTAGAAGAACGTAGAATGTCCGAAGTGTACATGTTAGAATGCGAGAGCTAGTATATGAATAAGCACGAAGATACATATAGTGGTGCATAGCAATGATGCAGTAATGTTGTCGAGATAAGAAAAAGAAAGAAAGTGATGTTAGATCGAGTTTAAATGCAATTATGAGGACACTGATATCAGTAAAAGCTCAGCCCGTATATATACGGGCCCCATAACGAAAGGGTTAATTCGTACACAGAGAAAAATATTTAATAAAAGCTCCTTTCCTTCTGTGGGGTAGTCAAAACTGACAGCGATTTTTCCCGACAGTAGAAGAATTAATCACAAAGATTAGATCTATGTGGTAAACAAAATTAACATAAGAAATAATCTAGAGGAAAGCGTGTTTTGATCACCAAAAACTACACTTTTGATCACCAAATCAATTAAAGAACATTTAAATTAAAGAAAATGTATATAAGAAGAATATATAGCAATTAATTAGCAATGATTACCAATTAATGAGTAGACAGACAAGAAAAATAATATAAAGAAAAGAAATATGAGCAGAACAGAAGTTAAATTTCAACGGTTCAAAATTTTATCGTCAACAGTTGAAGTTTTTTGAAATTTTTGTCAACTCATAAATGATTATAAACAACTACCCTAACCTGTACATGACATCATTCAAACAATGTCGAAGCAAGATAGGAACGTTTTGTGCACAGTCCAATCTTATGATCGCAATACAACGTATGCCAATGTCGTCGATCAGATTTGAAAAATCATACGAAGTATTCGTTCAGATGCGGTAAGTACAGAAAATACCCATTATATTTTTTTGAAATTCAGATAGTCGTACCAGATAACGATGTACAAGCAGTGACAGTTATGTCAAGAGGTGTACGTGAACATAAAGAAGAGGAATGTAATACAACCACACGCTTACTGTCACCAGTTCGTGAATCGGTATCGAAATACATTAAATGTGGCTTATCCCATACTCAAATTAAAACATCATTAGTGCAAGATCATCCAAACACTCCTTTAACAGAAACAAAATTAAGAAGTTTAGTGAATTATGAACGACGAAAGAACAGGCCAGAAATATTTTCAGTGTTTGATTTACGAAACTGGTGTAAAGAACATAATGAAGGTAAGCAGATACATTCAACATTTGTGCCTTTTTATACTGTAGATGATATAAATAATACGTTTGTATTATTTACCACGAAACAATTATTCCAACAAATTAGATTAACGACATATTTACAAGTTGATGTAACATATAAAATCACATGGAATGAATTACCTATGCGGGTGTTCGGCTCAACGGATGCCAATCGTCATTTTAAACCATTTGGTATTGCACTACTTTCTCATGATGAGAATGCCAAATGTTATAATCAATTATTCACATCAATTAATGCATTAGTCGTTGAAGAATTTAAGCATGCATGTTCAGTCGATCATTTGATGGCGGATGGAGCATTAAGTATCACATGTGCTGAACAAACTGTGTTTCCGTATAGCCGTCGTATGATGTGTTGGTTCCACATGATCCAAAAATGCAGACCACGTCGTAATTTAGTCACAAAAGAACAATGGGTAAATATTGATGCCGATCTTCATGCCATTCAGCTTTCTATTTCAGATGACGTATTCAATCGTGGTATTATCTTATTAATACAAAAATGTGCAAATCCATTGATGAAGAATTTTTCCGATTACTTTGTTGATCAATGGATCACAAAATTACCCTATTGGTAAGAAAACCAAACTAACTCAGAGTATCATTAAGATTACAATACTTGCTTTCATTTAGGTACGAAGGTGCTGCGTACGGCAAACTCTCGACGAATAATGGTTGCGAATCGATGAATGCCGTCATTAAACAAAAATATACACTTCGTAACAAGTTGCAATTATCAGCGTTCCTACCAAAAATGGAGCAAATGCTACAAGGCTGGTCAGAGGCAAGTATTTCATCACCATTTGCTCTTGTAACAAGTATATCGCTTGAGGCAGAGTTGCATGCTTATAAATGGTCAGTAAGTATAAACCGCTCTGATATTTTGCATTGGTTTAATTTA